CTAAGCTCACCCCAAATGGGATAGGTAGTGGATCCCTCTACTGTTGATCCTTTAGCATACATCACTAGGATAGTGATAATGAGTAGGCGTGAATCATCAGCGTTAGCAGGATCGACATGAACAGAGGAAAATACAATAATATCATACCCATCATACCTTACAGGTTATTGTGAGTGTTCGAGTCATAATGGGAAAGCACTGAAAATCTTAAACAGTACTGGTAATCAGCGTGGAAAGGTCGCGAGTACGAATCCATGCAGAGGCATTATTATCCAGATAACCATAACCCAACAACAACAAGCACCAGAGGAGTCATAAACCACCATTGAGATTATCACTATTATTATCCAACCGCCACACTTTCCTCTATGAATAATGATGATTGTATCGGGATCCCAACAAGAGAGTTTCGCCGATTAAAAAGTGTTACCCTGATCAACTCTAATCCAACCTCTTTTGTATGTTTCCGGAGGGTAGAAGTCCGAGGACATGGGCCTGAAGCCAGCAGCAACACCAAGTATATAACAACAACAAAACCCTCGTGTATACCATCCAGTCTTCACTCCATACATCTCGAATACAGCCCACATACAAACGACGCTGAGCACTACCATCACTATCTGTATAGTACCTATAATGGATCATAATACATAACTATAGATGAAGATGCCACTGACTAGCCTTATTCTTGCTTCCTTTAAAGTAGTTAACGTTCGGTAACCTCACTGCAATAAGCATACAGACCCCCGAGGTAATCATCATAAAGGAAGCTGCCAATCCTTCCCCAAGGTACTGTCCACGCATCTATAATGATGATGATCTATATCCAATCATTAATGCCTTCCCTCTCCTCTACCCCATGCATAATCCATTCAGGATTACCATCAGCATCCCTTCCTTGCATAACCATACCCTGGAGTATGTTAGAGAATATGCCAGACATCGATATGAACTATGAACACCATGAACAATGATAACTAAGTGTATTAATATTATCACCTGTATACATAGTGCTATAATAGCACAGGTAATAGGCCACGTTCTAGCACTATAAATAGCTAAGATTCCAGCTGCTACCAACAATATACCACCGAATAGCATCTTTAATAATGACTAAAATGATAATACATTCTCGAGTGTAATAAGAAGTAATCGATCGTTAACACTCACAGATAACTTCTCATGAGAGGTACGGAAGACTTTCACATCTCGAGTTGTCTTCTGATTCATCCATTCCAAGAAATCCTCAGGGGTATGATCATATTTGGTTATTCTAAATTGGTCACCTGACTTAATCATTACAGCACCAGACCTTTTCTTCTTAGTCAATGCTGACTTGGGACCAAAATGTACCTATTATCATATTACTAGCATCAACACTTCCTCTCCGAGTGTAAAAGTGAATACTAATACTACCAATAAGGGTACTGCCTTGAGCTCATGTACTCGTTGTATTTCACTGTTGGTATAGGCATCGATAACTCCAAAGAAAACAGGATCCTTCTCATCAGTATGAGCACCGACCTGTACATCAGTTCAATAACACAGACATATCCTACTACTACTACTCCATAATATGATAATGATGCTCTGTCGAGAGTCCTCTCAAGGGAAGGGCATATTTTGCATACTCCCTGGTTGGCACTTAGCAATACGAATAGATGATATGGTTTAGGTTGCTTGAGGGCGAATTCCTTATATCCAGTGATATTAAAACGTATGACCGCAGAGCTGATAAAGGGAATACATCTACGAAGTTTATGTGGGATGATGATGATGATGATCCTACAGATCGAAGTTATTGTAGTGGGAGTCCTCTGATAATTCTACTAACTTGTCGATTATTGGATCAATGGCTGATGGAGAGCTAATGGTCAGACCACAAATGGTCAGAGATAAGACCAGAGAGAAG